AAGGGTTTGTTATTTTTATTAATGTACTTATGGTTAAATATCTTGACCATCATCTCTGAGTATCACATTAGACACCACTCCTGGGGAAACAATAGGTGGTTGCTGCTGCTATCATTATGCCTAGGGGCCCTTGAGAACCACTGAATATTCTGAACAGCATTCCAGGTTTTTGAGATATCCTTTTTGTAGTTAAGAAACTTTCTTTTATACTTTACTTCTTACTTTATACTCTAAATTAATTGCCAACATTTAAAAATCATCAAATTTCACCTAAAAATCCATATTTCTGGCATTCCTTGAATATTAGGAGAACTAGCATCACTGGGGAGACATTTTTTCATGGCAATGAACGGCTAAAGTCATGTGTTGGCTCCTTCCTGGGAGAGGGGTGTCAGCTCTGGAGTTCACCCTCCAGCCCACTGCACCTTTTTGTTATCTGCCTGGAATTTGAGTTTGCTATTCCTGAACTCCCTGAATCTCATCTTTCTTTACAACATGGAAGCCTTCAACTTCCATACAACACTTTACTACCTGTTCTAGAGCGTGAGATTCTTTATGAAAAGGACCATGTTTTATTGATTTTTATGTTTTTGACTTTGCCCTACCCATAGTAGGTTACCCATAGTCCTCACTGTTTGTGCTGATGAAGTTTAAGCTGGTGGTGAGTTAAGATGGTTTTAACCCTTAAATAGTGAAGAGTGATACCAAATACAATTGTAAAAGAATATGTAATTGAGGAAACTGAGAGAACAAGTTTTTATGAGTCACACAGATAACATTTATATACTAGAAGTGGAATTCCATCTAGTTCAACTGTCAGACTATGGCAGTATAGGAAACTCCCCAAATAATTCCCATTCTTCCTTGACAGTCATATGACCTTGAACAAATCACTTAACCTTGTGGACCTATTTCTGCCTTGGCAAAAATGTAGGCAATAGTAAATGTTCCCTGGATGTTTTGTGAGTACTAAATGAAACATAGAATATTGTCTGTTTGTGAAATACTTGTAAACTGTTAATATAATACTTGCTGAGTATGATTGTATTTATGGTATTGTTTATAGATGAAAATACCAAGCCTTCAGAAGGACTTAATACTTAGTAGAGAAGCCAGAATTAGACCTAAAACCACATGAATCTTAGCTAGTAGATTTTTTACTAAAACATCATTCATATTGTAACTAAATATAATTGAAAAATTAAGAAGAATAAAAATACTCTTGTGGAGGTGGTATGAGCCAGGGATCCACTAAATTTGTTTCAGCTATTAAAGCTATGTCTATACTCTGAGCATCCTAGTGTATAAGAGAAAAATCAAAGGACTGAACTAAATGTATTTGTCGTTTGAAAAAAACTTTTTTTGAGCATCTTTTATGGAGTCAGAGGCATGTACTATGATTTAGTTTTTGGGTTTTTATTGGTGAAATTTTCAGCTTAGTAACTA